ATCAATTATTTTGCAGGTTGCAGTACATGGTAGGCATTGTTCTCAAAGAGAAGACAATCCCCTTGCATAAGAATAATTTTACATATAATTTCTCTTTCAAAATATAATAATCTGTTAGAATTTTTGGATGCAATAATTTTACATGAGATTTGAATAACACCGTTAAAAAAATAAAAAAAAACTACAATTTTTTTTTTTAAAAAAATTATGTTAATTTTTCAAATTTGTAATCTGAATCATTAAATCTAAAGTATCTAATCTAGAAAAATAATAAAATTTAATTTTTAATAAATTAATTTTTGAAAGATAAAATTGAAAAAAAATTAATTATATAAATTAATTAAAAAAATAGCAATTAAAGAATGAAGATCAATTTTTTTTTTAAAAAATGAGTTTTTTATTTAATTAAAGGATGAAATTAAAAAAAATTTTAGTAAAAAGGTGAAAAAATAAAAAGAATAATGATAAAAATTAACGTAACAAATAAAAAAATTAATTTTTGATTGAAAGGTAAAATTAAAAAAAATAATAAATTTTATAAAAAGAACAAGAATAGGAATCAAAACAATGAAAATCAAATTAGAAAACATAATATCATCTATTTAAATACTTTTACAGAAGATTAATGAAAAAAATTAAAAATTAAAAGAATAAATATTAAATTAAAAAATATGATATTTGGTAAAATTAAGATTTAATGTTAAAAATAAAATTAAAAACAAATAAAAATTATATAAAAAGCTTAAGATCAAAAACTAGAAATTAAAAAATAAGGTTTGAAGTTGAAATATCAATAATAAAAAATATCAAATTACAAAATTTAATAAAAAAAAGAGAAAAAAATAAAAAATTAATCGACAACAAATCAAATCATCACTAAAAACATACATAATATAAAAAAACACAATAAAAATATATTTTTGATGATAAGATGTATCATATTTGCCATCTACAGTGCACAGGCACGTCCCATTCTTTTTGAGTGTGAAGATACGTATCAATTTTTTTTATTTAGTTAAATATGAAATTATCCTTGATTTTATAATTTTATATATAAAAAAGTTATTGTAAAAATATCAAAAACCCCTTTATTTCAATTTTAGTTTTTTTAATTTTACAAGTATTTTGATCTTTTTATTATTTATTATTTTTATATTTTTTAAAATATTAAATTATTTTTAACTTAAATTATAATAATGAAAAATCATTTTAAAAATATAAAAATACTCTTTTATGTTGGTTTAATTTTTTCTACTTCAAAAAGTAATACTCTTTTATGTTAGGTTTATTTTTTTCTACTTCAAAAAATATTTTGGTATTTGAACAGCATAATTAATATGAAAAAAATATTTATTTATTCATGATAAATTTAAAAATAACAAAAAAAAATTAAGTAAAAATACTTTAATCCCTTCAAAACCAATGTTAAATTTTTGAAGAGTACAGGCAAAAAGTTCACTACACTGTTTCAAGATACAGTCTTTTTGAGTGCACATCTACAGTGATTTTCCAGGGAGGGTTAGGCTCTTTAATTTACTTCTCAACCATTTTTTGTCCTTCCTTTGTTTTCTACCGTTTTCCTCTTCCAATCCTGTACGGTAGCTACCAAGGTTTGTGAGTTGAAATCACCCAAATTGAAAGGACTCTTAATTTTGGCGGTTATGCACAAATTAAGATTTTTAAATTTCTCTCGTGATTGTCTACACAGTGCTCCAAGGTCAAATGGATTTAGTTATTCAAGACTAGAATCGAACAGGGTTCTCAAAGATTTGTCAAAACGGGGTCGAATTGATGAAGCGCGGAATTTGTTTGATAAAATGCTTGACAGAGATGAGTTTTCATGGAACACAATGGTTGCTGGTTATGCCAATTCAGGGAGATTGACTGAAGCGAAAAAATTGTTTTATGAGACCCCAGTGAAGAGTTCGATCACCTGGACGAGTCTTTTATCGGGGTATTGTAGATATGGTTTTGAAAATGAAGCTTTTGAATTGTTTTTGGAAATGCAGCTTGAAGGAAAAAGGCCAAGTCAATACACGTTAGGGAGTGTTCTTGGGTTGTGTTCGACAAATGGTTTGCTTCAAAAAGGGGAACAAATTCATGGTTATGCAATAAAGACTTGGTTTGATTGGAATGTGTTTGTTGTTACTAGTTTAGTTGACATGTATGCGAAGTGCCAATGTGTTTTTGAAGCTGAGTGTCTTTTTGAAATGGTAGCTGATTGCAAATACAATGCAGTTTGGAGTGCTATGCTTGCTGGATATTCTCATTATGGTTATGGGTGTAAAGCGATTGAGTGTTTTCGAAACATGAGAACTGAAGGGGTTGAGTCTAATCAATTTACTTTTCCAAGTATTTTGAGAGCTTGCGGAGCGGTTATGGCATGTGATTTTGGGTCTCAAGTACATGGTTGCATAGTCAGGACTGGTTTTGGTGCTAACATTTTCGTTCAGAGTGCACTGGTTGACATGTATGCAAAATGCAGGGACTTGAATAGTGCAAAGAGGGTGTTGGGGAATATGGAGTTTGATGATGAGGTTTCTTGGAATTCCTTGATTTTGGGTTGTGTGAGGGAGGGATTTGAAGAGGAAGCTGTATCTTTCTTCCAAAAAATGCGTTCTAGAGATATGAAGATTGATGAATATACGTTGCCATCTGTTTTGAACTCTTTTGCATCCATGAAGGTTATGCAAAATGCAATTTCTGTCCATTGTTTGATAATCAAAACTGGCTTTGAAGCATATAAGCTTGTCAATAATGCTCTTATTGACATGTATGCCAAACACGGAAAGTTAGATTGTGCAATCATGGTGTTCAGCAAGATGGTAGATAAGGATGTTGTCTCTTGGACCTCCCTTGTTACAGGGTACTCGCATAATGGCTCTTATGAGGAAGCTATCAAGTTATTTTGTAAAATGAGAATTTCAGGTGTATATCCTGATCAAATTGCTGTTGCCAGCGTTTTGAGTGCCTGTGCAGAACTGACAGTTATGGACTTTGGACAGCAGATTCATGCGACCCTAGTTAAATCTGGTCTTGGGTCATCCTTGTCAGTTGATAATTCTCTTGTGACAATGTATGCTAAGTGTGGCAGTATAGTCGATGCAAATCGTGCCTTTGACAATATGCCAACTCGGGATGTCATCAGTTGGACAGCTCTAATAGTCGGATATGCACAAAATGGCAGAGGAAAGCATTCTCTACAATTTTATGATCAAATGATTGCCACTGGAACAAAGCCAGACTACATCACGTTCATAGGTTTACTTTTTGCTTGCAGCCATAATGGTCTTTTGGGAAGTGGCCGTGCCTACTTTGAAGCAATGGATAAAGTATATGGGATCAAACCAGGTCCTGAACACTATGCTTGCATGATTGATCTTTTGGGGCGCTCAGGAAAACTTGCTGAGGCCAAAGGATTACTGAATCAAATGGTTGTAGCACCAGATGCAGTAGTATGGAAGGCCCTGCTTGCTGCATGCAGGGTACATAAGGAGCTTGAATTGGGAGAGATGGCAGCTAAGAACCTTTTTGAATTGGAACCCATGAACTCCATGCCTTATGTTATGTTATCTAATATGTATTCCGCAGCTGGTAAATGGGAAGATGCTGCGAGTATCAGACGACTGATGAGGTCCAGGGGAATATGGAAGGAACCTGGGTACAGTTGGATTGAGACAAACAGCAAAGTGAACACCTTTCTGTCTGAAGATAGAAGCCATCCATTGAGAAATGAGATTTATTCAAAGATAGATGAAATTATTATGTTGATCAAGGAGGCTGGTTATGTGCCAGACATGAGTTTTGCACTTCATGACACAGATGATGAAGTTAAGGAGCTTGGTCTAGCTTATCACAGCGAGAAGCTAGCTGTTGCCTTTGGGCTTCTCACTGTGCCACAAGGAGCACCAATTCGTATTTTCAAGAATCTCCGTGTTTGCGGCGACTGCCATGCTGCTATGAAATACGCGTCCAAAGTATATGCTCGTCATATCATTTTGAGGGATTCAAATTGTTTCCATCATTTCATAGAAGGAAGATGCTCTTGTGGAGATTATTGGTAGAAGGCTTGATTATCTATTATTTTCTCCCCTTAGATTTATTTTTAAGGGGTTAATAGAGTAGTTCAGCTATTTGCAAGATTTCCCCTCCAGCCCTCCAAGGTTGATGCTTAGCATCAATCCACTTTTGGGTACTAACTAAACAGAAATGTGTACTGCACAGGATTTCACAGCTCGAACCAGAGTAGAAGTTGAGCAGAGTTTCAACAAACAGCGACCACAAGGTGCCCTTAACCCACCATCTCTCCAGGCTTCTCAGATACAGATCGTGCAACCACCACAAAGGACAAGCCAACATTGGAGCCCAGTGCAGCAGAACCAAACCAATGCTTGATAAATAAACCCGGGGAACAATCAGCTAAAGACAGACGTAGTAAATAGAACCATGAAATTCTCATAAACTTGAATTTCTTTGTGACACAGGAGGCAAGCAAGAAAGGTATGCACCGAGACATCCTAACTCATGTAACTCCATCCATCCAGTTAGTTCTCCACAAACACTGGCAAACTATACACGGGAAACTGGAGCATGGAAGGGGAATCACAATACCTTGTCTTTCATGCCTTGCAGCATTTAGCACACCACATTCTAGTTTATTAAAAAGATAAAAATCAAATCTTTCAGATAAGAATGATAAAATTAAATAAATATATATAATTTTATAAATTATTTCATTTAAAAATAAAAACAAAATTCTAAAAAATAAAGTTGAAAAAAACACTCAAAATAAAATATATAACAATAAAAAAATTAACAATCAAATTTAATATAATCAGATAATTTTGACTTTTACACTTCTATCCAAAATAAAATGAAAAAAACACTTTAAAAAATTAAGCTAAATTACAACATTTTCATTTGACTGGAATTTTTCTATCCAAAGTAAAATGAAAAAAACACTTTAAAAACAAACCCATAAAAGTTTTGAAAGTAATTTTCGGTAAATCACTTTACAAGAAAGAGTCAGGATCTAAATATATTAAATGTTGGAACCCCGTTGCCAAGAGATCCTGCCCCCGTCAAATAATTATGCTTCAAGCTCAATCCAAAATCTTGGCAAAGCCTACCTCCCATCACCCTCTACCTAGTCTAAGGTCTCACTTCGTTGTAACTAACGAGGTGAAGATAGAAAATTGATTTGGTCTGAATTATTTGTGCAGGCAGGATGCTTGCATGGGTGACTGAGCCATTCAAAATCCAGTTGCACTGATTTGGCTACAATTCTGACCGTGTACCCATCGTCAATTTCCTTTTCATACATGCTCAGGAATGAGACGTTGACGCAGTCCCGCTGATGCCCCAGCCAACTCTGCAAAGGCATTAGGAATAGGCATGAGAAAGGCAAAGAGAATCTTTAGTGAAAAAACTGGCGACCAAAATACTATATTAGTTTACCTTGGGCAGTAAAATTGAATAGAGGAGGTAGCGCGCCATTAGGCAAACATGCATTTGCATGTCTCAAATCATCAAAAAAGGGGTGTGCACATGCCTCCAACTGACAGCCAGTAAAGAGAAGTTGTTGGGCGTAAATTAGCAATTCTACAAGGAAAAATAGCAATTCAAACTAAAAAGGCAGTAGATAGAAAGAAAATGTTGGACAGTTTCGAAACTGATTAAATTTATCTAAAGCAGTATCAGCACTTACAGCAGTGCACCGCATGTTTGGTGAATACTGAAGCAGCCTTGATACGAGATCCACTGCTGCAGGTGGCATTCGTTTGTGAAATATCTGAAATTTGAGAATTAATCTGTTATTCACCAATAACTATACACCAATTATCACAATGAAAAGATCCTTTTGATAAAATTGTGAACAGACCTTGTGCCATGGGTGAGCCTTGATCTGAGGGAACTTGAATTCTGTGTAATTGGGATTCATGCACTTAATTTCTTCACGGGTTGGTGTCCCCAGGACCTAATTTATGACCATTGAAAGGGAAAGGACACTTCAGAATTGGACCCAACATGTAGATAAGTATAACATAAAACCAAAGGGCTTGAAGGTGGTATAGCATACCTTAATAATTTCCACAAGCTGATCGACACTGCTTTCCCCAGGAAAAAGAGGCTGCAAAATGCAACATTGAGTAAGCATCAGAAATCATCGTGTACCCTGGCATTCAAAGAATAATTCATTGAACCAACATGCAAATAACCTGACAATCACAGCATCAAACTCAAGTGATCAATAAGCAAAAAGTGAATAATGGCAAACATTACATGATTAGTAAACCCTCTTCATTTCCATAGCCAGAAAGAAATGTTAAATTGTAGAAAAGAATTCAGAAGCCGTCAGCTAAGTAGCATGAAAGAGAATATATATATGGTGATTAATGTGTGCTCAGGAACAGAGAGCCCTAACCACATGCACACCAGTAGTATTGGAGGGGCATGGGAATTTTTAACATGAGCAGAGAGGCATTTGAAATTATTCTTCAGAATATTCTATAACTTGCCATCAAGTTCACCAGTTAACAGGAAAAGAAAGTCATATAGACCCACCTGTCCAAGAAGAAGTTCAGCCAAGACACAACCAACAGACCAGATATCAATGGCACTTGTGTACTCTGAAGCACCAAATATAAGTTCCGGTGCCCTATAATACCGTGAGCAGATATATGATATGTTGGGTTCCCCTGGCACCTGAAGATAAAAAAAGATGAGTTTTTAACACATCACTGGCATAATTTAATATCCACTACAGAAAGTAACATAATTAACATACCAGCATCTTTGCACTACCAAAATCACAGATTTTTAGCTGATGAGTATGGGGATTAACCTGCAGAATTCAACAAAACCTCAAAAAGTAATCCTTTACCACATATATAAACAACAAAACATCACATAGCTGCTGTAATTTTTGCAAAAACTTCCATTATATATATTGCATAAATCATGCAGAGTCATGAAGATGAGGTGATGACCAATTGCTTTCAACTCCCCTTTAAAAGGAAATATTTTCTAGTCTCATTGCAGGAAAGCCATAAAAAATAGCATGTCCTGGACTGTGGCAGCATATTCTCCCACTTGTTACTGAGGATTTGTAATCTTCAGCACAGAATTCACGTGAAGGAAACTAAACTAGACGGGTGAAATTTTTTAATTTTGGTGGTTATGAATAGCCAAGGATTGAAAGACTTCTATCATTTTTCATGTTGATGCCAAAGGAAAATGGCAGAAAGAAAACTTACCAGTAAATTCTGCGGCTTAATGTCACGATGGCACACCCCAACCACATGGTGCAAGTAATTTAGTGCACGGCAAATCTACAAAGCCATTAAGTAGAATAACTTGACTTATGAAACAGTATACCATAATTTTTTAGACAAATATCCATAGCACAACACCATAGGAATCGCAGTGTATCCAAAATAAACCAAGAAAAGGCATGTTAAAAAAAATATTTACAAAGTTTACCTGGTAAGTATAAAGTTGAACATATATAATGGGCATGTGTTGGTGATTCATCCTGTTAAAGTGCCTTGAAACTCGATGGACAGTCTCAGATATATACTCCAGAACAAGGTTAAGATATAGTTCATCTTTTTCAGTAGTTGAATAGAAACAATGTTTCAGCTGAACGACATTAGGATGGTCAAGAATGCGCATGACTTGAAGTTCTCTGTTCTTGTATCTCTTATCCTGCAATACCTTCTTTATTGCAACTGCTTCACCAGTTTCCAGGCACTTAGCCTGCCAACCAAAATAAAAAGTAAAATAACAGAACATAATATTATTAACACAATAGATGCTAAACAACAAACGATTGTGGTTGCACACAAGATGCTGGCTAATTCCACAGACCTGATAGACAACACCAAATGAACCCGTGCCAACCATGTGTTCTGCCATATATGAGATTGTCTGGGAAAAAGAAGATATGTTTAGCAGAATGGTCAAAAACTAACCCATATGATGTATAAAATTAACATGTAGCCCTAAGAATCTAAAATAGTTAAAGTGTGACATAAAGAGAAGTTTAGGGTCGATAACATTCTTTCTCAAAGGCTTCCTTAGCATGGTATTGCTGGACCCGAGAGTTGGGAGGGATGGTAAGGTGCCTAAACATTACATCTCCACATATGCAAGTGGAAATCTATAATGCATTATTCTTCAGGACATGGAAAAAATCTACTTTTATTAAACAGCCATGGCAATGAAGTTCCAAATAAAAACACTCAGAATGCCCCCTAGCTACATGAAAAAATATGTGATGAAACAACAACCATAAATTGTAAGAACATTCAACCAGGGTCGTCAAATAACCTGCTTTGGCTGTCCATTCCGACCACCTACTGTGGTTGCAATAATCTGACCAGTTTCTGTCCCATTGCCACTCACAATGACAGCTTCCACTTCCTACATCATTTTACAAAAATATTACTGAGATCTCCCCAATTGTGTTGGGTGTTTAAGGTGGAGTGGGGTTAGTTATAAATAAAAACTTACCTTTTCATCATGAAAAGTGGTTTTTTCATCTCTTATCTTCATTTGATGCATCTCTTTAGGAAGCTGATCATAGCCTGATTTTTCTGTTCTTGCCACCGAAGTAATGTTGGATGTGCTCGCAGCATTTTCCTGTGATGTAGAAGCCATATGCTGCTCCTGATCTGTGACACTTCTTTCAACTAAATAAGATTCTTGATCAACCTTTCGTTCTATTTCTTGATCAACCTTAGCCCTCTTTGTTCCAACATCCCCACCCTACATGAAAAACATCATGTTTTCCACGAGAAATCAGATGAATAGCATACTACATTTTCTTCTTCATCTTACACTTTCACAAATATAATTATACCATATATCCCATTGTATCTCACATTCAGTTGCTAGTGTTATTGCACAGCCATTTCATATCCATTTATGATAATTAGATTTTATTGCAAAATATAATTTTAGGACAAGACAAGAAGCGCCTACTCTCAAAAATCAACAGATGATCCAAGAAATATAGAAAATAAATACCTCGGCCGCTAATAATTTCATAAGCTTGGGGCCAATATGGCAACTTGGTTATTTAAACATACATCCAATATGACCGCTTAAACTTACCCCTAGGTAGAACCGAAATAATTAGACTACAGACAGGTCAATATCGCAACTTGATTACTAAAACACATATCCAGCATTACTACTTGAAATTCAGTCTAGGTAGAACCAAAGTAAACAGAAATGATACATCCAAAAACTCATAATTCAAGGATTTAACTAGATGTTGCACTCTAATTAATGCTTCTTCGAGTGAGCACTTGGAAATACAACGAATCTCAATATCAACCAGGATTCTATTTAGGCATTTAATCATTAAGTGCGAATCTATCATAAGATTTCATTGTTATCATCATAAAAGGACACCGCATCTTATGTGAATAACTTTCTTCTAGCGCTCCATCTTGGCTTCACCTTTATTTAAAAAAGGAAAAGCTGATAAAGATACATATTAACCATTCTCAGAAAAGAACCAAGAATTGCAGCATGACGTGCCACCTACCACAACAGCAACACACTAAAGAAAAAACAACCGGTAAACTTCACTTTCACCATTGGGCATCCAAATAAACAAATAGCATTAAATAGATCCAGTAACATTTGCTAGAAATTACAATCATGGTTGGTACACAATCAAAATAGCGCTCACAGTAATATAATCATCATCAGGTAATAATAGAATCTGATGTTACATATTAGCTACAAACATTATGTTAACCGATATAGATCAGCCAACCAATCAAACCTCTTCACAGGATTAAATGAAGATACACCAAGAATGGGAATTGCTATAATATATGGCCCCACGAGTTAAAACCACATCGAAAGTAAGAAAGCCTAATTCCAACTACTAAATATCATCTCCTTCTATAACAAAAAACAAAATAAGAACAGATTAGACCCAGTGCTTCCCATAAAGGAATAAGAAAAACCACGGAATTTTGAGAATTTTTTTTTTAAAAAAAAAATAGAACATAAGCCCAATCAGGAATCGGTCCAAACTCAATAAAAAGTGGTCAAGCTCGACAAAAAAAATAAAATCGAGAAACATGCAGGAAAAGAAATGGAAGAAAAAGAGAAACACATAACCCCCTTGTTTCAAATTTAGCTATCATCCATTGGAAACCATAAAGCAAGCAAGAGCCTTCTTGACCAAATTTATTCAAAATCCAAAAGGTATGAGCGTAGACATTAAAGCTCCTGTTTTTTCATTTATTTACCTCATTTTCTTAGAACCAAGCAAGCAAGAATTTTCAAAATAAAAACAGAAAAGATTCAAACTTACAGGATCGGATGATATAGAAGTTCGACCTGAAGCCATGCTTTTTAATCTACGCATCACATTCATGGTTTCCTTTCTCTTTTCACCAACAAACAAACCAAACCCTAAATTTCCTTTTAAGAAAATAAAAAAATATATAAAAAAAAAGACACAAACTCAACCTTCTCTCCACCAACAAAGAGAGAGGTGAAGAAAATGGTGAGAGAAAAAGAAGGGAACCCAAAAGAGAAAAACAATGAACAACAACAACAATAAAATCTTTCTGTTTCTTTCAGAATCTCTCTCTCTCTAGAACCTTAACTTTCTCTCTCTAGAAATAATCCTTATGAAGCTACCATGTATCTGTTTTTTTTCCTTGGTCAAATCAATCAGTTCTTGTACAGCAGTCAAAGTGTATTTTTAACCGCTGATCGGTAATTGTTAGGAATAATTGGGCGGTCTTGCTTGAGAAGTTTTTTAAAAGTTAGAGGTTGGTGTTACTAAATTGCCCTGGACTGTGTTCGGTAATGACTGGAAAGGGATTTGAGGGCAGATATCGATGTTGAACGGAATGTTCGGGTAGGTTTGGCTGGTCATTGATGATTTTTTTTGGCGGGCTGGACAAGATCAGAACAGTTAGGCTATGTTTAGGAATATAATGTAAATAATATTCTTTTAAATTTTTAATTGTTTTCTTTAAAATAATTTTTTATATTTTTAAATCGTTGTAATGTGTTAATATAAAAAATAATTTAAAAAAAATAAAAAAATTATTTTACTATATTTCTAAATAAAAAATGCTTTAAATAGTCACCGCTACTAGAATCCAAAACACACCCTTATATAAATATATTAAACAATTAGCATATAAAATCCAAATAAACAATATATTAACACAGTAATAAAAAGTTTTAATGAAATATTATGTTATTGTTCATTATCGTAATTTTAAATCATAATAAAATTATAATAAATGTTGATATTTATAATCATGAGATACGCATATGAATATGGCCAACAATCAATGTGGCCAAAAGATCAAGTCCAAAAGATATGCATAAGAATATTGGTTAATGCTACAGATCAAGCTATAAGAACATGTAGTAGTTGTATTATCTTAGGGTGGACAACAATGTGGTTCAGTAGTAGTGAAATAATGGTGTATCTCGTTGTTATTTGTTTGTCATTCTGTTTGTTAATTTTGTTATGTTAATTCATGTTGTGTATTGTGTGGCTATAAATGTCGGGGGATATTTTAATAGAGTTATGCTTTAAATCAACTTCAATCGTAAACCCTCCTCTGTTTTCATTCTTCTTCCTTCTTTTTTAAATTAATCCTATTAGTGGTATCAAAGCTTGATTCTTCCTGGTTTCAACCATAGATACTCGTGGCAAATCAAATGTGAAGTTTTGCAATGAAGTTAATGAAATCCTAGTTTGATAGAAGTTGAGTTTTGATCAAGTTAATATTACCTTGCAATTAGTATTGACTGAACTTTAATGCTTCTCGTACTACCCGTAACTTCAACAGTAATTCTCTTGAAATCAACCCTTTCGCTAATGAAGAGTCTTCATAGCAACAACTAATTCTCCCATACCTCATTAATAATCATCAACACAACAATCTCAAGTTATCTTTTTCAAAATTTAATGGAGATGATCCAATTAGATGGATTTACAATGAAAAATAATATTTTGAATTTCAAAATATTGCTCTAAACTAGTAGGTTCAATTGGCCTCTTTCCATTTAGAGGGCATTGATTTACATTGGCATAAGTGGTTGACCAAGTTTTAGAGACTGCTAATATAGGATGAGTTTACCAAGGTTAGACAACAACGGTTCTATCCAACTAACTATAAGGATCCATTAGAAGCCTTGACTAGTCGTAAGCAAAACATGATGGTGACAGTATACCAAGAGGCTTTTGAGAGACTCTCACATCAAGTTGAAGGTTTGCTAGAAAATTTTTTAATTGGTTGTTTTATTACATGGTTTCGGGATAAGATTCGTTTAAGTGTTAAAATCAAACAATCTTATACCTTGGCAGATACCATAAAAGTGACAAGATTGATCAAAGAACGAAATTAGTTGCACAAGAAAGCCTCTTTCCAATACGGTCGAGACCAACCTCAGTTTAAACCCAAGTTTGGTAACTTGGAGGTATATCTAATCCATGCATGTTTAAATACATAAGTGTAAACCCAAGTTTTAGCTAACAACAAAACTAGAGTATCAATGATGTGAGCCAAACTAGTTATTAAAAATAAAATACTTAATTTTTTATTTCAAAAACCATACACAAATTAAAACTCTCATTCATATTGTGAGAAGATAACTTGGTTCATGTCATGGTGATATGATTCTTAATTATTGGCAATCATATATTTGTTAGTCCATGCATATAGATATTTTAATGTGATCCTGAGAAAATATTTGGAGCAAGTTTAAAGAGATTTTGAGTTTTTTCATAGTTGGTCGATGACTTTTGAAAGTTGAAGGTGAAATGTTTGATTTGTAGTCCAGGAACTCTTTTAAAACAACTCTTTTGTGTAATATATAAAAAACCTTATAATGTTTAAGTTAGCACATATATAGAAGGAGTGTATCACTCAATGCTATATGTTATTTGTTGCATGAATAGTTAATAATGGTGATTAATACAAGAGCTGTAGAGAAACATTATGTCTTTTGTGTATCCTGGTATATAAGTAAACAAGCTTATGACAGGGGCTCATATAAGATGATAACTTATAATGATTGGTGGTGATATTATTAAGTGTAAAAAAAAAAAGGTTTTCTTGTGAGCCAAGTCCTAACATAAGAATGTTGTAACACCATTTTGTAACATAAAAATATCTTTTGTTGTAATACAATTATGGTAAAAAAATCACATTAATATTAAATCTTGAATACCTAAAAAATAAAGGGTTGGGGAGCATGACTTGGTTCGAGTTTGAGATCTTGAACCTAACCACTTGTTAAGAAGAGATGAATTGAGGCACTACTATCCCAAACCTGCTCTCAGGATAGTGGGTCTTTAAAGTCCAATCTCAATCCCTATCATAAAAAGTTGAGCTCGAGGTGGTGAGCCCTCTAAAGTTTAAGTAAGATTGAGTCTATATTTAGAACAATATAAACTTACATGGTCAATTCAAAACTTATTTAAATTTGAGGTTATATTTGTCATCTCCAGTATATATTAATTATGTATTTTTATAAATGTCTAAATGCCATGAACATGATGAATAGTATTAAAAATTTAAATAACCTTTTTACCTTTAATGTATTTATATGAAATATTTTTGAAATGCCCAGTAAAGAATCTAAGATGGAGAGTATAAACCTTAAATTTATTTAGTAAGGTGTTAGAGTGTGTTTTTTAATTGAAAATATATTGAAATAATAATTTTTTAAAATTTATTTTTGATATATACACGTAAAAAAATATCTAAAAAAAATTAATTTAATATTTTTTTCAAATAAAAAATAATTTAAATAACAAAGCTACCAGTGATGACAAACTTGCTAGTTTGAGAGGATCTATCAGCGGGCACGTGAATTCTAGTAGTACGATAGAAACGGTCTCTCTTTTGCCGTAATCCAGTGAAAGGGTCGAGCTGAGTGCAATTAGACCCCACCATTCACATGTAGTGTCATTTCTACTTTTAATGCAATCTTCCAAGCAGAGTACTGTTGGCAAGTAGTCATGTATAAGCCTGTTCAAATCAAAGGTACTGTATATTGGCCATGGCTGATTCGAAACAACGAGAAGAAAATTGGTTTTGGGAGACATTTTCCACTCGTACAAGGAACATTTTATTGTCTGAACAGGTTTTGAGGAAGTCGGGCTGAATTATCAGATAGGTAGCAATCAAGTTACAGTCATGGTTCATGGTCGCGAGGTGCAGAATCTCGAGGACTTCTTTTAGTTTTTGTCAGTTTTGTTTTCCTACGAGCATTGATTTTCAGAAGATGGCACTGAATGTATTTGTTTTGGAGGCCTTGCGGGCAACTTTCTGTTCTGACGAAGAATTCATTCACGGCATGGAGTTTAAGGCCTTCTTCGTAAAACTGGTTCTGCTGAAATCATATGCTACTGCTGTGGTTATGCACTTACTAGCCCAGAATACTCTTGCCTTTACGCCAGCATTTTGGGCCTTTCTGGCTGGTGGCAGGCTATGAGCCTGCACCAGTTCCACGTGATAGGTCCTTGGTTTTTTTTTCTTCGTTTCTTTCCTTTCTTTTTTATTCTTTTTTTTCTAACTAAATAACTGGATCGTACTCCACTTCGAGCCCCCCAAAAAAAAA